GACTGAACTGTATAGAAAATTTCGTCGTGATCTGCCTCTCCTTTCGAAAGTTATCGTGTAAACGGCCGGACGGACATACTGACCGATTCTAGAGTGTACTCACTTTTTGAGTACACAAAAAACACGATTCGTAAAGTATTAAACTGTATAACACAATATATGGCAGCTATTTAAGTCACAAAACTTATATCTATCACTTCTGCTAATTAGAAAAACTAAGACAGTAGACCTTCAGTTTTGAAGGCATAATTATTACGATTTGTGATAGTATGTCGATCATGTCTATGATATTTTCATGGTAATGTTTGTTACGATCTGTAGAGGAGGATCCGAAAATTCTGTCTCTGTGTTTCAACATTCATATTAATTATTAGATTTATGTTTGATTAAATTAATTCTCAAAAATTCAATTGAGTTATTCTATATAATGAGTCCCTACTTCTTTTTAGGCATTACTTCCACTTGCATTGGAAGGAACATCTGTTGGTATGACAAAAGCAACTCAAGCATTAGCTAAAGTTGCTATAACAACAAATCCAGAAATAGCTTTTCCTGGACAACGTGTATGTCAATATGATCGATTTTTATCTAAAATCTAATCTTATATTTTAGATGCTTGAAATTGTACGACCAATAATAAAACTTTTAAAAATTGAACATACAGCATTAGAAAATTTCGAAGCATTAATGGCTTTAACTAACTTAGCTAGTATTGGTGAAAGTGTTCGAAAACGTATTTTAAAAGAAGATGGATTTTCAAGTATAGAACAATATATGTTTGAAGAGCATCCAATGTTAAGACGAGCAGCAGTTGAATGTATGTGTAATTTAGTTGTTCAAGAAGAAGTAAACAAATTAATAATTAATAATTTTCATTTGATAATTATTTTATTATAAGGTTATGAAATATTTTACTGGTGAAAATGATCGTATTAAATTATTAGTTTTATTATGTGGTGAAAATGATGAATTATTAATAAAAGCAACTTTAGGAACATTAGCTGTTTTATCATCTTTACAAGCGGATCTTGAATATATAAAAGATTTAAATTTAGAAGATGAAGAACGTAAACGTTTAAATAATTTAATTCAAGATAATCGAATTATATGTGAAAAAATACTTGATGTTTGTATTTATTTATTTTTTTTATTTTTTAAATCATTAGCTTGCTGTATTTTTTTTGCTAGGTTAAACCATTTACTGAAATTTTTAAACAATTATGTGCTTGTAACAATCCAGATTTACAATTTCGAACTTTTTATATAATTCGCAATATAGTCAAAAGTAATAAAGAACTTGCAATACGTATTGTTGAAACAGAATTAATGGATATTTTATTTGCTATTAAAGAAATCAAAGTTGATCGTCTAGTTAATGAAAAGGTATGTCAAAGTTATGAATTGCATCTAGAGACCTGCGAAACAACTTTTTTCCGATACTTTTTGTTACTTCAAATTTTGATGTCATACAATAAGATAAAATTAGACATGCATTGGTATCAGTATTAATGATATTATTGTCGAATTTTTATTAAAATACCATTCACTATTCTTCGAATAACTTTCAACCGTTTATAGAAGAAGTTTTTGAAAGATATGATCAGTTTCGTTGTCGATTTCTACAAATTTTTTGTACAAACTTAGGCTAAAATTACATCTGAGAGAATCGTATTTTCCATCAAATTTTCAGAGTTCTAGAAAATAATATATAAAAATTAATTCTCTCAGCTTCCTTAGCTCAACCATATTGTTTTAAAAATAATGAATAAAACTTACGAATGTTCGAAATTAATTTAATTAAAGTTTTTCTTTTTCGTTTATTTTAGAATCGTAAAATAGCTTCGGATATTGTTGAACTCTGTTTGAAATATGGCCTTATTCAACGAAATAAAGATCATACAATCCAAGAAGAAGATGAAACTACAACTACGAATTAAGAAATAAAATAAAATACAATTTCGTCCTTTTTTTTTTGTTTCTATCTATATTAGTGTTATTACACGAATCTTTTTCTTTTAAATATACAATATGTCTTATGGATAGATCAGGAATAAAATACATTTCCATGTATCTTTCAGAATAATAGAAAATGTCAAATACTCAACCGAAATCTGAATCGACCATACCATCAACATCTACTTTTGATCCAATTAATTTAGAATCTGAAATTCTTCAGTTATGTCTTCAATTTCCTAATGGTGTTAGTGATAAAATTCTTGAAAATTCATTTCGTAGTGTCACATTAGAACAACGTGTTAGTGCTATAAATCATTTATTATCATTAAATAAAATTGATTTATTAAAATCTTCAAATGAACCAGGTACATATCTTTATCGTATACGAGATCCAATGAATAAATCAAATTCATCAATATCAATTGGTAATGGAGTAACAGATCAAATGGAAAGAACAGTTTATCAAGTTGTTAAAGAAAGTGGAAATTTAGGTATTTGGATGCGTGATATTAGATTTAAAATACAATTATCGCCAACCATACTTAATAAAACACTTAAATCATTAGAAAATAAAAAATTAATTAAAGCTGTCAAATCAGTACATGCCAATAAGAGAAAAGTAAAACAAAAAAAATACGATAATAAGGCATTGACTACAGAATGGAATATATGTAAGATACATTCAATTTGAGCGAATTTCTTGCCATGGTTGCATAGAGTTTGTCGAATTACCTACAGAAATCTTGCTCAATTAAGTACTAGCACATGAAAATTACAAAAATATTATTTGAATATGTCCAAAAAAACAAGATTTTCATAGGTAAATCGATGAGTTCTATTCAACCATGACAAAAAGTGGCAAAAAAAAATTCGTTGCTATAATTTTGAATTGCCGGACGCCTTAGAATTGTAGAGGAATACTTCCTTTGTGTAGTCAAAAGTCACCAAAAACCTTATAGGCGCCTTTTATTTTGAATAAAAACAATGCGATATTCTAGGTTTATATGTTATATGAATTAACACCAGATCCGTCTATTACCGGTGGTACATGGTATTCTGATCAAGAGTTTGAAGCTGAATTTGTTCGAATTTTGAATGAACAATGTGCACGTTTATTAGATGAACATCTTGATGAATCAATAGAAAAATTTCCGAATGATCCATTTCTACGACGAACAAGTTCATTGATGTCTAGTTCCGAACTTGCTTCAATTATTAATCAAATGGGTATTGCTACAGTAACTTTAACTGCACAAGATATCGAATCAATATTATATACACTTATTTGTGATGGAAAAATTGAAAAAATGACAGTAGCATCAACAACAACGAATGAAAATGGAGCTAAACAAAATTTGTATAGATCGATTAGATCAACGATTGATTCAACTCCGGTTGTACGAAATCCGTGTGGTATTTGTCCTGTTTTCAATGATTGCCATGATGAAGGTGTGATTACACCTAACACTTGTATTTATTTAAATAAGTGGCTTAATTTTTGACACTTATCAATGTTTCTGTTGAATGCTAAATGGCTAACGGATCAGTCGGCTTGTCAGTCTTTGGCTCGGACCGATTCAATTTTGAAAACTTGCCACTTTTCTTCTATCAATTTTTAGGGCAACAAAACTACTCTATTTTGCTCATTTTTTTTAATGGATATTCATGCCTTTCAAGAACCGAAAGAATGAACTTAAAAGTTTTCAATCGAATATTTTCTTGTCGTCATCGAAATCTTAGCTTTAAATATTGAGTTCACGGGTTTTCGTTACATGATAACAACCTCACATTATACTGAATGAACTTCTTACGACCACGAAAAGTTAGCCAAACATGAGAGATTTTTCACCGGGAAATTTCGAGCTAACTTTTTTGGACTACTTTTAATCGACTGTCATGAACTCTCTATGGCTAGTAGCTTGCACTTTATCATTCCGATACGAAAATATAACTAAATTTCTATTCTATTCAGAGACTTATAACAGTCACTAGCATCAAACAACTGTTTACACATATAGATATTAAGAAAGCTGAATATATGAAATCTAGTACAAACTCATGCTTTATGGATAATTTTTATCTTATTGACAGTAGTATCCTTTAATGAATTTAGAAAAGTTCTTTAATCGTTCTTAGTATTAAAGACTTTCTCGAAATAGCTAGTTGGTTAATTGATCTCTTAAACGGATCGATTTTCTGTCGATTCGATTCTAAGTGTAATGTTGGCGAGCGTACAGGTTGAGTTCGGGTAACCCGTTCATCATCCAATTAGAAAAACAGCGAAAAAAGACGAGTCGAAATTTTAACGACAATAAAATCATGAAGTGTACATTTTTACGCGTCAAATTTTTGAACGATTATATATTCGTTCGGAAGCTTTAACGTGTTACAAACGCATAAAAATGTGTGTTTTTTACAATTTTGTTTTCGTTCAAGATACTCAACGCGTTTTTTATACGTTCGTTTTCTAAATTGAGTAAATTCTTTGAGAAAACAAGATTGTAAAAGCTGAGAACACATTTAAACCATTTCCCAACAAACCACGTCCATATGTACGACTGTTTTCTCTATCAGTAGCTCCTGATGATCAAAATAAATTGGTGTTGGCAACAAAAATCAAACAAAGATGGAACATAAGTTCCATGAATATATTGATCGGTAATGGCGAAAAATTAGCAAAACTCTTTGCTAATAGTCAACTTATTATATTTGAACGTGTTCGAGCCTCGAACACAAATTTTTTATATGCCATTGCTGTGATTCGAACCGGAAAAAAACCGGCAGTATACCGCCGGTAGACCGTTCGGTATCATCTGCCCTCTACCGGCGGTTAACCGGCGGCTTTGCCGGT